ACCAAACTTGAAAAGCCCCACTCATTGTGTTTCTTAGACAGATACCCTAACATTTGAACCTCTTACCAAGTCCCAAAGATTTTGTGAGGCAGAATGTCCTGTGAACCACAGGGTGAACTTAACTCCCAAACACCCTGCCTCTGCCTCCAAAGTGTTGGGATTGCAGGTATGGAACATCATGTCCTGTGGCTATGGTGATTTTTACAACATGTAAAAATGATTCTCAGGGTGGGGATAGAACTCAGGGGGAGAGCACTTGCCTGGATTGTTGCAGACCAAGTTCCATCCCCACAAAGCAAAGAAAAAGTTCTTCTACTGTAATACAATAGATGGTCATCTGCTGGTCTCACAGTATTTTTGAAAATGCAGAAGTAAAATGCAGGAACACTTCCTTTTCAGATACTTGTAGCACTCACCTTAGTACAATTTTAATTATTTAACGCTCATTTAAGTGTCTCTGTATGCTTGTTTTGCCTCATTTTCTGTGATTCCAAACATATCAGTTAAGCCTGGCTTGGTGGGACAAGTGTGCAATCCAGCACTCAGGAGGCAGAAGGGGATGGATAGAATTCATGGACAGCGTGAGCTATACAGGAGATCTTGTCTAAAAGAAACAAACACTCAAGAAAGAGCAAACCCTGCACTGATGTTTCAGAAATGCATTTCATGGGAATTATCTTTAAATCCAGAATCAAGAGAAGTAGATGTGTTAAAAACAGGTCTGGTTTTGGTCAAGTTGTAGAGCTCATGCAACAAGAACTCAGTGTGGTAAAGTGAGTATTGCATGTTTCTGGGCTGTAGAGAGAGTGAGCAGGGAGGTTTATGACCCTCACCTTCCCATCTCCACTGCAGGTAGAGATCTATACAATGGGCTCACCTGATATTGTTGGGGTGAGTTTTCACCTGCTGTGGTGTTTAGAAATGGGGCAGGGAACTGCAGTGTCCTTGTGAACTGTGGTACAAGATAAGAGCCCATGGGGACAGTCAGTGTCCTGGTGCATAGAGATCATCTCAGAATATTTTAAATTTATTGCTCAAGTGCATTTTCTGTTGATTCACATAATGTGGGGTTTTTTTCCTGCAGGATACCTTTATTCATTTTAATTATTAATTTAGTATTGACTTATTTATTCACATGTTTATATGAGAAGACACTCAGGATGGTGCACAGGCTGACCTCCCAGGTGTTGGCTCAATGGAATCCCCCTTCAGCCCCCAAGTAGTGTTCACCACTGCACCTGCCAATCTGCTTTAAATGTTCATGTTGACATGGCCAAATATGCCTAAACAGTGATATTTTCAAGTTTTGCTTTCTCTAACATTAGAAACAGACTGGATGCTTTCCTGTTTCTTCCTCAGGATTATGACAGTCAAAAAGTAGAAAGCCACCACCAACGGGGTGGAGTGCATCAATGAGTGGTCCTTGACCTTCACACCATTCCTGAGCCTTTCCCTTTCAGGGAGGGACATCGTCTCACTCAATTGATCTAGGGCAAGCTGAACAATCAATTGGGATTAACTGTGGAGCTTCAGGAATCTGACCAGATGCTGCTTTCTAATCGAGAGGAGGTTGTTGAAAAGCTTGTAGAAAGGGCAATAAAGCTTCAGAGCAACCAAAGAAAAGAGATGCAGAATCCTGTAGCCTCAAGTCACTGACCGACCCTGCAGCGATTCAGAGAACCCTGGTCACCTTGTCCACATCTGGTAAGTGACTCATGTCCATAAGGACACCCCAGACCTTCTCTCTGCCAGGCTCAGTTGTGACCTTGGACCACAGGGTCACTGAGAATCTTATGATTCCTGCCTTTTCAGATCAACAGGTTTAAGACGTTGTTCTCCATAGGTGGTTCTGGAGTTTGAACTCAGGCCCTCTATTTTCCTGGGCAGGTGCCCTACCACTTGAGCCATGTCACTCTTCTAAGACTTTGGTTTGATGCCAAACTCAGCTTTGTCCTCACCCCAAATACCTTGAGTTGTTCCTGGTGAGATGCTCATTCTACTGACAACACAAAGCCACAGCTTTGTGACAGTCAACTGCTGAGGGGAAATGGGGTAAACTGAGGTCTCTCTCACCATTGCAGAACAAAGACTTATGTCCTGAGTTGAGTCCTAGAATCCTTGAGTAGGGATTTCCTTGGCCTTGGCCTAAGGCAGGCCTCTTCCTGGATGTGTTTAGGAGGGTCTCATTACGGATCCTTCAGAATGAGCATGAAGGCCCCACCCACCCTCTTGCAGCTGGCAGGGCAGAGCCTGCTGAGGAATGAAGCCCTGGCCATCTCAGCCCTGGAGAAACTGCCTACAGAGCTCTTCCCTCCTCTGTTCATGGAGGCTTTCACCAGGAGACGCACTAATGTCATGAAGCCATGGTGCAGGCCTGGCCGTTCCCCATGTCTCCACCTGAGGGCCCTGATAAAGACAAGAGACCTGGAGACTTTACAGGTGGCCCTTGACTGGATTGACATGCTGCTTGACCAGCAGGTTCACCCCAGTTGAGTGTGACTCAGGGAACCTGGAAAGGAGGGTGCTAGGGTGTATGGAAGACTGAGTTGGGGACATAGAAGAGGGGAAAAAGGGGTGACCCTTGGCATATGATGGCATTGAGGAAGACATTAGAAAAGCAGAGTCCATTGCTGATCTATATCCAGGGAAGGACTTCTGGGAGTGGAAGATTCCTTGGTATTGCACAGGAATGGCAGGGGGAGTTGTGATTGTGTCATCCCACAGGTGGTAAACTTGAGGACCAGACTGGATCCAATAGGAAGAGGATGGAGAAAAGGAAGTGTGAGTTCTCCCAGTGAAAACCAACCCAGGAACCTTTGCCTATGGATCCAGTGCCCTGACATTGAGAGTTAACAGTTCAGGAAAAAAAGAGGAAGAAAGATAAAAATAACAAAAGAAAGAAAGAAGGAAGTGAGGAAAACTAAGATGGGGATAAAATTGAGAAGTCAGCAAGCAGCAATGTCTGGGATGGGGAATAGAAACACAGCAGGTATTGGGATCCTGACAAGATTCTCAGCCTCTTCTTGTTTCTCCTCAGGAGGTGGAAACTGCAGGTGCTGGACCTGCAGGCTGAGCACCAGAACTTTTGGAGGGCCTGGTCAGGAGCCGTGCCCGGGGGCTGCACACCACAGGTCAAGAGCAAGGACCAAACAGCAGAAGTTCCTCCAAGGATGGAAGGGAATCAACCCTTGAGTCTGATAGTTGATCTTAACCTGGAGCTTGATGACCTGGATGAATTGCAAATGTACTTGTTTGAGTGGGTCCATCAGAGGAGAAGGTTCACATAGCTGCACTATGATTTGGGGACTGTGCACCTGTAGCTACTGGGCCCTGGGTCTGTTGAAGCTGGACTGTGTGGAGGAGGTGGTCATGCATTGTCCCTGGACCCTGTGCACTCTGGTACTGTCCGCTCCTCCCCTGGGCCAGATGAGAAACCTGTGCAAACTCCCTATCTCTCAATTCTGTGTGTCGGAAAACATATCTCCAGAGCAGCATCAGGATCTTGTTGCCACCTTCACGTCTCAGTTGGGCAAACTTACTGACCATGAAAGCTCTGTATGAGCAGGGCCTATTATCTGCATGGCCACCTACACCAGGTGCTCAGGAGAGGACTGATGGAGAAGTCTCTGCAGCGCAGTCAAGCCTTTCCTTGTTACATAGACATGGGCGACACCTGCTGTTTGCCAGCCAGTGGTGATTTCAGCATGATGTGTGCTTTGATGTGTAACTGTTGAATTTTTCTAGTCCATCCACTCATGTGCTCTCCCATAAACCCTCAGTGTTAAAGGAGGTACAACATGGTAGACGACCTGGAAAGAGTCACCAGGCAAGGAAGCTAGGTGTGGGATCAGGTGAGCTGTGAGTTCCTCTCTAGGAGGAGATTCTGAGCTCAGGTGATGGAAACAGGAAGAAGGGGGCACAGAAGGAGGGAAGCACCTCACACCTGCACAGGGCACCAGGTGCCCTAAGTCTTCTGTGATGCTCAGCAGGGGAGGGAGGAGTAGGAAATGAAATCCTAGGGTCCTGGTACAGCAGAACTGTTGGTGGGCTTAAAGGATCTTAACTTTGCAATTCTGTTCTTTATCTTCTGATAATTTGATTTACCAGGATAGCAATAAAACAGCATTGGCTGAGAGTTCTCTGTAAGTTTTTCCTCTTAAACTTGGCCAATTGCAATAGAAGAAATTCCCACCATGGAGGCAGACATGTGCACATGGAAACCACAGATTTAGGAGTCTCTTCTCTCCTTTTATACCTTGCTCAGCTGATCCCATTGGAAGCACCTTTGACCAAGGAGGGGAACTCAATCTCTCCTTCAACTTTCTAAACTCCATCCACACAAAACCCCATTCAAACCTCCCACCTCCAGTGCCCCAACCAACCTCCCCTGTGTTATCCTGCCTGGGTCAGGATGAAGTGCCTGAGAGCAAATGGACTTTTCCTGGCTCGGTGGTGCTCTACAAAGCACTCTGGCTGCTGCTGAAGCCCCAGTATCTGCCAGGAAGCTTGAAGGAAGAGCTATAGTTTGCTTCTCAGTGAGGACAGGGATTCCACCAGCTGAGGGACCCTGAAGGAGCAAATGAGGTGATGAGTGCTTAGGGCATGTCATGTATCTGCTAACAGTAAGTGCTCAGTAAGATCATGTTTTCAGAAGGGTGGAGCATGCCTGTAATCTCAGCACTCAGGAGGCACAGGCAGGATTCTGACTTCCAGGCCAAGCTGGACAAAGTTAGCAAGACTCTTATCTCAAAACCAAAATATCAAAACCTACCTGGGCTGGGAACATGTGTCATTTGGCTTAGTGTTACCCAGGGTTCCATCCCAGGTATGGGAACAGGAGGAGAGTCAAATTTCCCCTCTTTATCCCACATGGCTACGCCATGCTTCAATTCACTCTTCATGCCTGTTAATAGGGAGGACAGCAGGGAGTCAGGCACAGAACGGGACTCAGCCTCTGTATGAGGCCTAATTTAATCAGGATTCATCCACAGAGAAGAGATTTAGCAGGCATCAAGGGTGGACAGTGGGGGCACAATTGGGTTCATGGGCGTGTGGCTGATGTGGAAGAGCATCTGCACAGCAAAGGGGAAGCCCTGTACAGGAAACAAACAAAGAACCCCCTGGATTCACCTTCAGTGATCAGTGAGCAGATGGAAGTTCCAAGGCAAGGTCTTGTGCGCCCTCTGCTGGAGGCTCAGGACAGGTGCTCTGAGTTTTACCAAATAATGTTTTGTGTTGTCATTTACAAGCTGTTATGAAATCCTATTGGCATTTGTCTTGTGATTCTGCTCAAAGTTTCACCAAGGATTTATTTTAATACAACAGGGCAAAGCCAGTGACATGGGGAAAAAATGGGAGAAAGAATTTCTACTCGCTAAGCAGGAAATGGTAGTAAACACTCTCGTGTTGTGATGTTTAGAGATAATAAAGGTATGAATTGCCTTGAAAATTGTAAAGAAAATGTAGAAGTTCCCGAGAATGAATTAGAATGTTGAAGTCATGAGTAACTTCCTTTGCTGGCTCAAAACAAAGGTAACTTGTTTGGGGGATGTAGCTCACTGGTTGAGTGCTTGCTAGCACGCTTGAGACCTTGGGTTCCATCACCAGCACCCCACTTGTCCATAAAAAAAGAAGAAGGATGAACAATAGTTAAGAAGCTATCTTCTGTGTGGTGATGCTCTCCTGTAATCCCAGCTGGGAGAAGACTGAAGCAGGAAGATGGTGAGTTTGAGGCCAGACTGAGGTACATAGTGAGATCCTACCTCAAAATAAAAACAAATGAACAGGGTTGGAGGAGAGGCTCAGGGAGTAGAGCAAGCGGGAGGCCCTGACCTCAAGTCCCAGTACTGCCAAAAAAATAATCAACAAACAAGACTCCTCCAAACGGCTTTAAACAGAAATGAAGGAGAATAGTTCTTATGTAGTAAATATTTAGAAAAATAAAATTTTAGATCAAATATCATTGCTTGTTTTATAACAAAGACTTGTTATTTAGGTTTTTTTCTTTTTTTTTCAGATTTGGGGTTTTAACATGGGGGTTTGTTCTTGCTAGGCAGAGGCTCAACTGCTTGAACCACTTCTCCAGCCTGACTTGGTTACATTTTTATACAACAGTTTTAGAGTTTTAGAAATAAAGAATTTTTGGGCAGAAGCTCCACAATTCCCACATCCCATGTTCCACACAGGCACAACCTCCCCCAGGAACAGCAAGTCTTCTACATGGGGACAGATATTACCGTGTATACACCACAAAGTATATAAACCTTTGCAAAGTCCATAGATGCGCTTGGAGCGCCTTCTTGCAGTTGTACAGAGTTTGAAAATCATGTGCTGAATGAACCCACATTACAGGATCATACAGAATTATCTCTTGCTCTGAAAGTCCTCTGTGTTGTGGGTGTTCTTCTCCCCATCCCAGCAAAACCTGCCAGCCATTGGGCTACTGTTTGCTGTCTCCATGGTTTTGAGTTTTATGCAATAAAGTGTCCTCTCAGATTGCCTTCTTTCACTTGGCAATTTCAATTAAGGATTCCTCTGTCTTCTCTTGGTTTGATGATTTTCTACCAATTTGGCTGAACCAGGGTTCAGTTATTCATTCACCTACTAAAGGAAGTTGTGGTGCATGCCAAATGCTGGCAATGAAGGAAGCAGCCATAACCATGCAGGTTTGGGTAAACACCCAGGAGCTCCAGTGCTGCATTGGACAGCAGGCTGTGGCTTCCAGACAATCCCACCTGTTAGGCAGAATGGCCACTAAAATCCAAGGATTGTGTCCCTACCGTCCTGGGTCCTCATATGTGAGCATGGCACCTGACAAGTGGTAGAAAGTGCTCTTGACCTGAGGGTCACATGGAACCTCTGCCATCAGTGACAGTTACTAAAGGGCCAACTTGGAAAGATCACGGGTTGACTAAAAGTAACGTGGAAGACACAGCACTCAGGCTGCTGCTCTCACTGCCGTGTGTCAACGTCCAGCCACCACAAGGGCTCATGAGCTGATCCTCACTTGTTTCCATACATTGTCCCCAGGACATCGTCAGTGTCAAACAGTCCAACAACACAGACAGAGCAACACCTTCCCTTCATCCCAGACCCTCTAGAGGGTTTGGTTTAGTTCTCTCGTTCTAGACTTTTCTGCCTTTCTCTCCATTTGTCCCTACACATGGAGGCCTCTGGTTTCATCCATCCTTCTAGAAAGGGTGTCTTACTGTGGAATGGGTCATGGTGCTTTTCCCACTGAAGTGGAAGGATTGAAGGTCTGTCCTCATTCTCATTGGCTGGCACAGAGCATCCCATAGCTGAGGACTCAGGTGAGCGCTGTGTCTGTTTGTGGACATCTAGCTTCTTCTGATTTGTTGCTGTTACTGAACCCGTGGTCCTAAGGATCTTGACACACTGAAGCTTCTCTTTGACTTCTCAAAGTTTTCTCCTTGTTCTCTGCTCCATCTGTGCTGAACCTTCAGTTCCCCTTCTCTGACAGGTTATTTCATCAGTATGAACAGACTCTCCACAGTCGTCCATTTAAAAGAGAAGCAAAGAGAGTGAAAAGAAACCTCCTTCACCTCCATGTCATTCTTCTGCACACACAGCTTCTCCTCAGAGGTCTCGGCATTCCCTGTCTCTGTGTCTGGTCCCTTACATAGGCTCAGTGTCATTTTAAGGAAACATTCCAAGTGCACAGAATACGCTCAGTAAGATGACATCAGCTCACACCAGCTGTCCTTGTATAGGAAGAGTTGGTCCTATTTGCTGCAGATTTTCCCAATACCTGATGCCCTAACATTGAAGCCTTGACCTTCCGTTGCCAATATAACCACTTTTTAAATTTTCTTACATGTAATTATGGAAATTATTAATTACATCCTCTGTGGATCTAATTAAAATATGACGCACGAGTAATTGAATTTCATTTGGTTTTGTTTTGTTTTTCATACAGGTTCTCACTGTGTACTGCTGAGTGGCCTCAACCTTGAGATCCTCCTGCTTGAGCCTCCTTCCTAGTTCCCTGCAGTGTTATTTGGAGACCTGTGTTCTTTCACCTCAAGGGAAGATTTCCAGAAGATGGAGAAAGTAGTGAGGGTAATAGCAAGGTTTATTAAGCAGAGCAGTTTTGTTTTGTTTTGTTTTTGGCAGTACTATGGTTTGAACCCAGAGCCTCACACTTGCCAGTCAGTTCCTCTTTCACTTGAGTGCTCCATCCTCCTTGATTCATGTTGGCAATTTTTAAGATAGGGTCTCATGAACTGTTTCCCTGGGCTAATGCAAACATGATCCTCCTTATCTCTGTCTCCTGAGTAGCAAGAATTACAAGCATGAGCCACCAGCACCCTGTAAGCAGTGTAAAGATTTAAAGAGAAGGAAGAATTTGCTCACCTGGAGGAGAATGCACCATTTCAGAGAGGAAATTGGCTCCACACTTTCCATTTCTGGATTCGTTTGTGTTTTGGGAGAGCATTTTATGAATTTATCACAACAGTACTTTTTATCTTATCAATTACATTTCACTATAAATCCTGCCACAATCCTTCTGTGACGTGCCTTGACCTTCCTGTTTTTGTCCTTATCTGCCCATTACTGTTCTGGAACAATTCTTTACTTTCACATAAAACCATATTTTACCATGTAGGAACTTTTTTGCTGGAAAAGGTCCCCTGCTATAACTCTTTTATACCTCCTCACCCTCACCATATCCCAACAGTCCCATCTCACCCTAAGTCCTAACTCAACATTCTGCAACATAGTTTCTGCTTCTGCTTTTGCCCTTACCTGCTTGTTTGAATCTCTAGCTCCTGTTTCCCATGCCTCATTTTCCCTGGTCTATCCTGTTCTTATGGCTGTTAAAAATTGAAGGCAAATGTTTCAACAACTATGTAGGTCACATTCTGTATTTCCTTCTAGAATCTGGTAATTGTCACACTTTTGATGTATGAATGACTTATTCCATAATGATCCCTGATGCCACTTTCATGAAGTGTTTTAAATCTTTTGACATTTTTGACAAACTACCCAAAATCTAATTCTACATTAAATCTTTTTGTACTTGAACTAAATTTGGGAGATTCCAGAGGGACCCAGAACTTCTCCAGGGGTTTATAAAGAGCGATGTGAAATGAATTAGAATTATTTTGTATGATGGGCATTGCTGTCAAATAAATAATGCTTAGCTGGGTGCAGAGGCACACACCTATAATCCCAGTTCTGGGAAGAGTGGGCAGGAGAATTACAAGTGGGAGGCCAGCCTGGGCTGTATAATGAGAGCCTGCTCAAGGTGAATCCATGCATACATACACAAGTAGATAGAAGAATGGATGGATGGATAAATAGATGGATGGGCTATGGGTTGCCAAGCCTACTGGGAGGTGCCTAAGCCCGATTGCTGAGGTTGGTTGAGGCTCCTGTCCAGTGGGCAGCTAGTTGTGGGGTCTGGGGTCCTTGTTCACAGATGAGGGCAGCCATGGCTGCTGCAACCACACAGGGTGGATAGGAGGGGTCCTCAAGGGGTGGAGGGTGGGATGGGACCGGCTGTGGCTTCAGAGGCACAACCAACCTGCACCCTGACAGACAGGCTTCCCCCTCCCAGAGGGCTGCCCACCAAGTGAGTGTCACTACTCAGGTAGCAGAGACCACAGTGCCACCCACCACTGGGTGGCCTGGGGCCTGATTTCACAGAAAACTTAAAGCAAGCTGAAAGCCTGATGGCCCACGTCCCCACCCAGGACCTCTACATCTTCCCAGTCAGGTCCACGCTGCATCCACTGTGGCTCCACCTGCCCTGGGTCACCTACATGAACCTGAAGGACTGATGGCTTGTCTGGGCATGTTCCTGCTGCAAGCAGTGTGGCATCCCACAACAGGACCACCTGGACACGCACGCAGTGCTGAATGTGCTCCATGGCATGTTGCACTTAAGCTGCATGGACCAGCTGCAGGCAGGTGAACCACTCTGTGGGCCTTAGAAGTGGAGGTCCTGCAATGTTGAGTCCTGTGCTCCCAGACCCAGCCACCAAGGCCACCAGCCCTGCAACCTCATGCCACACACGCACAACCAGCACCAGGTCAATGCTGTAGCCAAGACCACTGGCTTCCTGGACAT